TGGTCGGTGCCCTAACCACTGAGCATGGGGTGCCAAGGCCATTCTCTTTGTTTTCTTTCCAAGCCAGGCTCACCAACAGGACAAAACCCTTCCTATCTATATTGGAGGATGTTCTTAGGACAGAACTTTTTAAGTGATGCTAAACATCCCAATAAATTTCATGTCCAGGTGGTCCCACCTCCTCTGTGTCCTCATTTGTTCCAGAGGAAGTTGGCTTGAGGCAGGAAGGGTCAGTAATTGTCCACTTTCTCAGGGCAGCCAAGAAGAATCTTAGGGTTGCCTCTTACAGAGGTCTGCTGTGTGCCAAGATCTGTGCCAAGGCAGCTCCTGTGTCACATCCCGCAGGAGGCAAGCATGCAGAGAGAAGCAGGAGATGGTGGATGGCGAGAGACAGAGCAGTGGGATTTGAGCAGTGGGAAGTCTTCCTAGAGGTGGGGCTGTCCCAAAAGATGAGGAGAGGAGGGAAGGGCATGGGATTCCCAAAAGAAAAAGACCAGTGTCTGGCTTCAAAGTGGGCCACATGGAGGTAGGAGGAGCAAAGTGGTGGCTAAGTCACAGAGAGACTTGGAAGCCAAGCTAAGAAGTGACTTTATCCCGAAGGTTGTAGGGAGCCATGGAGGGTTTCATGCTTGAACTGCACTTTAGGAAGAATTGCCCTGGCTACAGCAGGAAGATAGATTAAAGAGCATGAGTTAGGGAGGTCCATGTGAGAAATGGTACCAGACTGGGGGATGGCACAATGAGAGAGAAGATGGAGGGGAGAGAATGGTGGACGAAACATCACAGATAACATAGAAGTGAGAAATTAGATCAGGAAAGCTGTGAGTCAGTCGGATTTTGTGGCAAATTTTGGGACATCCTAGTGGAAGGTTTCCAGCCAGCTGGTTACGGGCTGGAGCTTGAAGGAGGCCAGATGAGGGAGGCTGGGGTGAACATTGCAAAGGAGTCAGTGAAAAGCAGTCAGGGAGGGAGGAGAGCAGGGAATGTTCCTGAGACTTGGGGAGGAGGCCGAAGAGGATGGGGCCTTGAGTTCGGGGTGGGAGCACAAGGGAGCAGACACTAAGTTTCAGAGGGTGAAAATGAGATGGGAAGTGTGGCAGTGGAGGTGGCAAATGACCACTTGTCCAGAATCTGGGGGGAAAGGGAAGGGGTGCCAAGGGGCAAAAGGTTAGCTTTTGGGGTAGCTAACCCAACAAGGGGAGGCAAAGGCTCGGAAGATAAGGAAGAGCCTGGAATGTGTTTATGGGACAAAAGGGAGGGGCCTGGGGAGAGGCCAGGATTGCAGCCTGGGAGGGGAGTGGAGAGGGTGGGAGAGGGCCTCAGACAGGTGGCCAGAAGCAGCCCAGGAGTGGTTCTCTGAGATAGACACCCACCAGCACCCTTCTGGCCCTCCACTAAGTCTAGCCAACAGACCTGGCTCGCCATTGTGACCAGGATCTCCTTGGAGCCCTTCTCTGCCTGTGGCCTGACAACCATTCAGCAAGCGCTGCCTGCCCACCTCCTAGCCCCTGGAGGGAGGCAGAGGAGGTGTCAGAGGTTCTTTCATAATTTCACTAGGCTAAAGAAGATCTGGGAGGGCTGGAGCAGGTAAGGAAGGCTTCCTGGTGAAGGCAGCATAGGTGCTTAACCTGAACAGCAAAGGCCAGGCAGGATTTCATAGAATATCACCTGGGTGCCCCTGACCTGGCCCCCATCTCGCAGATGTGGAACGGAGGAAGAGCCCCGTGTGTGGCTTCGTGACCCCTCTGCAGGGGCCTGAGGCTGACGCGCACCGGAAACCAGAGGTAGCTGCCGACCCCAGACCGCCCTCCAAGCCCAGCCCTGCCCATCCCTCCAGTGTGCACCCCCGCCCCCGCTCTGGGTTGCGGGGAGGAGGGGCGCGGGAGAGAAGCTGGCCCCGACGAGGTTGGGGGTTGGGTGAGGGTGGGGGGAAGAGGGCGCCAGTGCCCCTCTCACTGAGCCTCCTCCCTCGACTCTTCCCAGGCCGTGGTCCTGGAGGGGAACTACTGGAAGCGGCGCATCGAGGTGGTGATGCGCGAGTACCACAAGTGGCGTATCTACTACAAGAAGCGGGTCCGTGGAGTCCCAGGGGAGGCCCCAGCCACTGTGTCTCCTGGCCGATCCCTGGAAGGGACCCCCACAAGTACCCCTCGGGCCCTCCACTAAGTCCCAGCCAACAGCGCCACCGTGTGGTCTCAGGATCTCATAGCAGCCTCCTTACCTGGCTGGGGGGGCGGGGGGTGCCTCCTGAATCGGAATAGGGGATCCCATTGCTGGCGGAGCTTGTGAATAGGGGAGGAGGCTTTGGCGGGGAATGATGGAGGCGGAGGCAAGGGGTCCCACGTCCAACTCTGTGTGTCCCTGCAGCTCCGTAAGTCCAGCAGGGAAGGGGATCTCCTGGCTCCTAAGCAGGTGGGTGCTCTGTAAGTCCAGCAGGGGAAATTTTTCCTGGCTCCTAAGCATGTGGGATGCAGAAAACTGACAGCTCCCACCTCAGTTGGCAGGACTGTGTCTGGGAATGGAGGGGGAATGTTTGGGGAGTGGGAAAGACTGCCATCCTCTGCTTGATGAGTTGAGCCCATCTCTCCTCCGGAGGCTGCAGTACTAAGAAGATCCCAGGCCACTGAACAAGGAGTGGGAGAGTGGAGGAGCAAAGGAATCTGAGAACTGGGGTTTCAGACAGGAAAGAATCTAGATGGCAGGAAGGAATCCCCTGTCTATTCAGCAAGCTATCCTGGGGGCAGTTGTTAGAAGCCAATGGTGCGACCCTAGCCTGCCAGGCAACAAACTCGGTCCACCAGGGAAAGGTGAGAAGGGATGTACAAAGAGGCCTCCTGGCCGGTTGGTCATTTTTATCCCCAGATAGGGGTGATGGAGGCTGGTAGCAGTGGGAGCCTTCCAGGGGCTGCTGACCACTCTGTCCCCCTAGGCGGACGGCAGGTGGCCACCGCCAGAAAGATGGTGCGAGCAGCTCTTCTCCAGTGTGGTGCCTGTGCTGCTGGGGGGCCCAGAGGAGGAGCCTGGTGGGCGGCAGCTCCTGGACCTCGAGTGCTTTCTGTCAGACATCTCCGACACGCTCTTCACCATGACTCAGCCTAGCCCCTCACCTCTGCAGCTGCCCCCTGAGGATGGTGAGGGCATATATCCAGGAAGGGGCAGGAGAGAGGGGCTTAGGCCTGTGAGATCCAGGCTACCAAAGAAAGAATGGCTGGGACTACAGGGTGGGGACTCCCCACTCCACCTGCCAACTGCTCTTGACATCACCACTGCCCCCCTTCAGCCTACGTCAACAATGCTGACATGATCCAGCCAGACCTGACACCATTGCAGCCCAGCCTGGACGACTGCATGGAGATCTCAGGTGGGGCAGGCCCCTCCCCCAGGGGGAGTAGATGGGCAGAGTCAGTGTGGGAAAGCCTTGGGATGGCTGTGAGAACACAGCCCCATCCCAGGCCACTCTAGGAAGGAGGATGGTCTGGATAGTTTCTGAGGGATGTTCCTAGCCTCCCTTTGCCCAGTTGCCCACATGCAACTGTTACGAACTCAGATAAAGGCAGGGGACCAGGGGCTTTGAAGCTGCACTTTCCAGGGCCCCAGGAAAAACAGTAGATGCTAAGACTCTGGGGAAAGAAGGGGATTTTGATTTGGTTAGGTCTATTTATTACTACATGATGCATTAAAAACTATTAAAGAACACTTCAAACTTGCACACCAAAAGAGTGGTTTAGTGAGCCCCCTTGTAACCATTTTTTTTTTAATCCCCCTTGTAACCATTACTGAGGTCGCTAACTTACTACTCTTGGCCTATCCAGTTTCATCTAGACTACACCTCTTCTCTCCCATGTTATTTTAAAGACAATACCAGGTACTATGTCTTACAACGCATTTTTTTTTTTTTTTTTGAGACAGAGTCTCACTATGTCGCCCTTTGTAGAATGCCATGGCGCCATATCTCACAGCAACCTCAAACTCTTGGGCTTAAGCAATTCTCTTGCCTCCCAAGTAGCTGGGACTACAGGTGCCCACCACAATGCCCAGCT